GCTGTGTACCAGGCGGAAATGGCATTTTGGCACAATTTAGCCAAATCTACCCAAAACTGTGCCAAATGTTTTTTGTTGTTTTTTTTTAATAAAATATAATCTGGTCTAATAAAAGTGATAATTTCTATTGTAGGCCTCATTCTGCATATGACATAACCTTTTCTTTTTACATTTACACTGTGCATCATCAAAATCTACCATTGTGCACACCTTGAAATCACTGAATGGAACCTAACTCCGCCTCGACGTTTTACGCATGAGGTCTATTATTTATACTCTCGGTTACGCACAAACTACACGTCACCAAACAAAGAGTAACACAGTGTCAAGATATATCCCTGGATTTGTGAGAGCTTCATCTTTTCAAAGATACCAAAGATACGGAAAACTTCCTGATACTGAAACGGTCCGCGACGGTTCAAGTAACTTGCAAATGTTTATATAGCTCTAAAATAATAAATATTTATCCAAAATAATTTGGGGACTCGTTTTAAAAATATCAAAGATACCTTTTGTGACGGATTTAGAAAAAAATTGGAAAAATAAGTTTTACACCTACTTTAGCAAACAACAATGAATGACACCACCTGCTTGCCCTGCAGGGCCCGTCGGGCTCTGATCCAAAGAAAAGAGCTTATGGCTTGTAGTGTTTTTAACTGTTTTTTATGGCGAATAATTTTTGAAATATAAATGTATAACTGTTTATTTATTTATTTATTTATTTATTTAGAAATATAAATATATATCTTGTTCAGAAATCCTCTTCTCGTTCTGCGTAGTTATTGCACCTGCTGGTGGCACTTATTTGGGGGTTTTGTTTCATAGTTCATAATGATTTTGTAAGATCCATTTTTTTCCTCATTTTCCAGTGTCTTGTTAACATAGAAGTATAAATTTGTCACTGGTCTCTGATCTTTTGTTTTCCTTACTAATTTATTTGTATCACAGCGCTGTTGAAGCACAAGACTATAACTTAAATGTGTAAAATCCACGGTGAAGTGTCTAAATGTTTTGTAGAACTTGACTAGATTATTAGTCGGGAAATAACTTGTACTAATTCAACACTTTGTTGTATGTTTTGATGTTACATGATCTTTAAGGAAATATTTATTTATGTTATTCAGTCGTATGTAGATAAGTGTGCACGGTTTGACGTGATTTATTAGACACAAGTCATGAAGCCAGTGTGTCTGTTTCAGTACTTTGGTCAGCGACTCTTTCAACGTGCTACTCATTTATTTATTTTTTTTCATTGAGATTTTTTCATCCATTTTAATTGTGAGATGTTCATATATTATAACGTTTCAGAATGCACTGTGATGTTTATGGTAAACTGCATTGTTTTAAAGGTTGAGACTTCTCAGTTTTTCCAAACATTAGGTATAGTATGCTTAAATTTTATTTAAATAATTTCTGGCTAGAGCTGATCAATTCTCCATATGTTTAAATAC